CATACAATTCGAGGTTTGCAAATGCTTAATTCACAAAATAACAACAAACCCATTTTTGAGTTTGAAGTAATGCCCCCGTCGAGTTTGACAAAACAAAATAGTGCTAAAGTACGCAATGTTAATATGTCTATGAGAGCTTCTGAATTTAGATTCAGCTCCTTACGACATCTATTTTATCTTTACCATGGCTTCTAGAGCCTATTGGCTTGAAGAGAAAGCTTTTTAAACATTACTTTTTTTTTTTTATTTATTATGACGAGGGAACCTGCAGTTACTATCATTCGGGTGCGCACTGGGTAAACACTCGAGCTAACATTACTCCTTTTACTTATATGACACTTAGGCCATGTTGGTACTCGTTTCTTGATACTCATTTTTCCTAATTATATATTTTATTAATTTTTAAAAAAAATTACTAAAATCTAGGCCTCGTTTGATTCACATTATTTGAAAAAAAATACATTTTTAAATAGTAATTATACATCATTTTAATCACACATTTTTCAATAAAATAATATTATACGTAAATTCGAAATCTTTTAACCACGCATTTTTCATCAATACACTATTTAAAATACATTTTTTTTCAAAATAACGTGGCTCAAACAATGGCTAAATTTTGCTCTAATCAAAGAGGGGCTTATTTTGAATAGTGCCAAATAGCACAAGTGATGTTGAACATCAGTTTAGGTGTTAACATATAGTAAGTTTTATTTAATAGATCATAATTCTTTATATTTAATTGAACTTGTAATCTAATGCAGTATTGCTAACCCCTGAAATAATGTAAAACACCAATATGCTGAATCGCATTAGTCGCTTATTTTAGCAATATACTAGCCATTAAAAAAATCTACAGGTCCTATCGATAAATAAACTATACACTTTATAGATATAGTTCCTATTTGTTTATCACTCTTCAAAAATTCTTTTCTTCTAAAATTTATTTTCAGTCGCATATTATCCTAATACAAATATTTTACACATAAACTCAAAGCCATTATTTGACAACTATTAAAACAAAACTATTTTTTTTTCAAACTCATTTTCAGCGATATATTTTCACAATAAAATATTTTGCATATAAATATAAAGTTTTATTGCTTTTTAACCACAAATTATAAAAAAATTCACTATTCCGAAATTAGTTTTTCCCAAAAAATCTCATTTTAATGGTTGTCAAACATGAGCTCCTGTTTGTCTACAATTCTTCAAAAATTTTCACAATAAAAATTTTACTCAGAGATTAAAATTTTTACTTATTTTGTTTACCATACATCCATTAAAAAAAAAATTACTATTGAAAAACTCATTTTTAACGGGGGAATAAATATAGCCCCCGTTTGGTACCCATTTTTTTTCAAAATACATTTTTTTCTTATTTTTCAACCACACACTTCCCATCAAATTACTATTCTAAAATGCATTTTTACATAAAAATGCACCTCAAACACCCCATAAATATAAATTGCGTGCCAGTGAGAGAATTTAAGGGGTGTAAATCCACATGAGCCCTAAGGATGGCTCATTGGTCAATGCCAATCATTTTACAGCGCGTGCTCGTGAGTTATTGCATTAATTTTTCATTTTTTTTTTCAAATTCCAAATTTCCAACCGGGCAATCGTTGTATCCTTCAAACAGATATATATTGGAAAATTAAAAAGTTAATTATACAATTAATAAAAAAAAAGATCTTAATTTAGGACATACAAAAATGGCAGAGGAAGCCAATAATTTGTTCCAAATATTCAATTTCACAATTTTATTTATTATGTCACTAGTCAAAATTAACTAATTGGAAAGAAATTAATAGCCTTTTTGGTATTGGTTATGAAAATTGATTTTTGAATCGTTAGTTTGAAATGTGGGTTCTACCTACGACTGAAGAGATAAAAAATGACGGATGACTATGGTAAGTAACGGTCAAAAAAATTAATTTTTTGGCTTGAAAATTCAGAGCTAAAAAAATTAGAACCAAACGGAGGCTAAAAGTTAAAATTTAAATGTTTAAGGGATTGTTCCATTCACACATTTTTAACATTTTCACTATATTTCTTGTCATGAATGATTTTTCTTTTCATTGACCCTACAATATTTGTCATTAGTTTAAATCAATTGATTAGAACAAAATTAAAAGTTAAAATTTTAACTGTTTTAGGGATAGTTTCCATTGACACATATTTCACATTTTCTCTATATTTTCGCATTGTGAATGATATTTCATTCTGGGAAAATTGCAACCAATGTATCATACATTTCGCTTATTAGCATAATTTACACAAATCTTTCATTTGTGCCACTTGCGGTACCAAACATTTCAAAAATTATCACTTGAAGTCCAACTTAATGAAAGCTATTAATTCATCTGTTACTTGACCAAAAGTCAACGATTTAACCAAATTTTGACTAGTTTTAAAAGGTTAAAATGGTAAATTTAGATTTTCTATAATAAAACAATGAAAATAAAAAATCCACCCCACCCCACCCCTAAAAGAAAAAACCAAAACCCATCCACTTCTCAGACATCGCCACCCACCACACCGTCACCATCCATTTGGTTATAGAAGCTCTTGAAAAGGGGGAAAATGGAAAAAAAAACACCATTGAAATTTTTAACACTCTAGAAACTCTCCGGTTCTAAACCCATTTTCACTACCTTCTAGCTGAATTGCCCAAACCTTTAATTGGTTTTGGATTCAAGAGTCAATATTCTCTGATTTTAGGTCCATTTTCCCCACATTCTCCAGTTGAATCGCCAAAATCTCATGTTGATTTCGGAATAAAGACTCAAAATCTCACGCTGATATAGGTTAGATGCACCCACAATAAATTTCATCCCAATCGAACCTTCACGTTACCATCCCCATCTAACTGCCACCTTCGCCATCGCCTTTCCTCACCATCAACATCTTCATTCAATATTACTACGACCTACACCACAACAATGGCAAAATCTCAAAAACAAATCTGATTAGTTTCGAAATCCAGATCCAAAACACAAATATAACAACTTGTAACTGAGAAAAAAAAGTAGAGTAAACGAACCACATGGGAAAGCCGCCACTCCTCAAGATTAGTCAGACAAAACTTGGATACCTGAGTTATAAAAAAAATGCAGAGTAAATCATAGAAAGAAATTGAAAATAAAGTTCTCTAATCACAGTTTAGGGCGTTTGATTTTGAGGAGTCGTTGAGAGCTTTAACTGAGGTATTGGTGAAGGGAAGACGATGGTGGTAGTTGGCATAGGTGGCGACGGTGATCGACAGTCAAAAGGCGGTGGCAATCCACAACCTAGTTGCGATGGCGATAATTTTGAGCCAAAGAAGAAATGGTTTGGGCGGGTAGGTGGATTGTTTGTTTTTATTTATTATTTAATTTTTTAATTTCTATATGAAAATGTAAATTTACCCATTTACCCTCTAACACATTAGTCAACATTTGGTCAGACCATGGACTTATGGTCAACTAATGGTCAAATTAACGGAAACCATCCATTTGGACTTCAGTTGAGAATTTTTGAAAGATTTGGTACCATGGATGACACAAATAAAAGATTTGGGCAAAGCCTGCTAATAAGCGAAAGATTTGGTACCTTGGCTGCAATTTCCCTTTCTTTTTCATTGACCCTACAATATTTAGCACAATGTATTTCAAAATGCAACGTGGCAGCAAATATAACGAGTATGAAAAGAATTCTTTAGTTACGCAAGTAGTGATAAGATGTGTGAAAATGCTTGCAGTAAGGCCATAGACTTTGAGAAACTCTCCTCCCTCCATTTGCAACCTTTAAATACATCCATTCTTCACCTCTAAATTCCATAATTGAATCACAAGGGCACCGAATATACACGTAAATCTGTATCTATCAAAGAAATTAGTGTGAAGTTCAAAAATGGTGATTGGAAGAGTAGATCTGGAAAGGAATCCAATAAAACCGATTACTATTTGCATGATTGGCGCTGGCGGCTTCATTGGCTCACACCTCTGCGAGAAGCTCATGAGCGACAAACCGCACAAGGTACTCGCTGTTAACGTATATAATGATAAGATCAAGCACCTGTTGGAGCCTTCTGGCTCGGGAGAGCTCCCTTGGGTCGATCGTATCTAGTTCCACGTACTCAACATCAAGAACGATTCTCGCCTCGAAGGTCTCATCAAGATGGCAGATCTTGTAATCCTCCGACTCTTTGATTGTTTTCTTGAATAAAATTATGCATTTATATTTTCTTACTGCATGAAATTTCGAATCCAGATATGAGGTACTGTGGCTTTATTTGCAATTTATCGTGCAATTATTTATTTTTCGTCGGCTTTGTTTCACATTGTAGTAATTTTTATCCTTCGAAATTTCGAACTTCCGCATTGAATTTTGATTTTCGTAATTGAATTTTACTTGATCGGACTTTTGCAAGTGTCTAGAACTTTAGTGGAACCTCTAGGTCTTAATTTTGTACTCTGTTATGACCTATAGTTTGCTGTTGCACCTAAAGTGTTCTTTGTTCTGTTTTTACTATCATTTTCATACGAAATATTCACTTTATATATTTTATATTGAACTTTGGAATTGCTTTTTGCTGTGAATTTTTTATTCTTTTGAAGATGTATTAGCGTGTTTTTTAAGCTTCATATCTTTCATGGACTGTCGATGAAGAGTCTGACTGGGATGTGAATCTTATATATTTCTTGTGATGTAGACAATAAATCTTGCTGCGATTTGCACGCCAGCAGATTATAACACACGTCCTTTGGATATTATCTACAGCAACTTCATTGATGCTCTCCCAGTGGTATATCTTTACTCTTTGATGGAAATATTCGATAAAATCTTGGTTAGCGCTCACTTTTGAATTGATGTATGATGTAGTATTGGTTTTGTGGATTTAGGTGAAGTACTGTTCGAAAAATAGTAAGCGTCTCATACACTTTTCCACTTGTGAAGCGTATGGGAAAACAATTGGTTGCTTCTTGCCAAAAGATAGTCCATTGAGGCAGGTTAGTTTTTGCTTTCCTTTTTCTTTCTCTTGTTTGACAAAGCTTACCTGTGCGAAGTCCAGATCTGTGCTTCTCTTGATCATTATTTTTGTATTTTTGTTACACTCTTAGATTTTTTTACATTTTCTTTTTTGACTTCCTTGTCTAGTCACTGTGTCATGTTTCCCACTTGAATCCCAGGTTGGAAGTATGGGATTCTTTTGTGTGGTTTATATAGGCTTGAGTTCTCCAACGTGGCTAGATTTTGGACTTTGACTATTCTAAGTTCTATGACAATGGTATCAAAGTTTAAGCCGTTGATGTTGGAGAATCCAAAAGCCTATTCAAACCGTAGAGGTTGGAAAACCCAAAAGCTAGTTATTAAGGTTGGATAACTGTCAGGGCCACTGAAATGAGTACTCGACTATAAACTTCAGAGCGCCATGGGCTTAGCCGAGGTAGATGGCCCGGAGTTTATACAAACCACACAAAGGAAGTCCATACTTTCGATGTGGGATCCAGGTGCTGATACACCTTAATGAGAACCATGACAAATCATCAGGCTTCTGACTCGACGTCCACATCGAGTAGGAAGCCATACACTTTAAGTGTTAACTTAGCCAAAAGACACAATTCCTGCTTTGATACCATTGTCATAGAACCTGGAAGTGGCAGGCCCCGAAAAGTAGCCATTAAGGTTGGAGAACTAAGCATATATAAATCACACAAAAGAAGCCCTTTCTTTCAATGTTGGATTTAGGTGTTTGTACACTCCAATGGGAACCATGACATATTGTAAAAGAAATTAATCGAATTTGCAAAGGACTTGTTCTCGAGAGAATTTTACTACGTGTATATCTGTTCCATGTTCAGCAGGCCTTCCCACGAACAAATATATTACAAAAAGAAGACTGTTTCTTCTCTTGTTTCTTTTCTGGGTGATAAATTGGTTAAATGTATTTAATTTAAGTGGTAACAATGAGCTTTTAGGGATACTGACGTATTTGAGATTATTTTTGATTATTATGAACATCATTTCCGCCATTTATGGAAAACTTTCGAGGTTAGTACATATCTTGAGTTTCATGTTTTATTATTATTGTTATTATTATCATCATCTTCATTATCATCATCATCTCAAGTTCTTACTCTACATATCTAAGTGAAAGTACAACGTGATATATGTTCTAATTAATTAAAAATAGCTCTGCGATTTGAAGATTCCATGCTTCATATATTTAACTATACTAATGCGATAATTTCAAATAGTAATCTTTGCTTATTTCTGTTCATTGAACTAATAAAACTTATTAATAACTCAGAATGATTGGAATTTATATGAGATTGAGAGGGAAATTTGATGATTCATCCATAGAAAAGTGTGAAATGAACAATAAAATCGAAGTTGCGTACTTGTGTCCACACCAATTTGAGCGTTGCACCATCTTTCTTTGTTTACATATTTCTTTTGCTTGTTTTCTGCACACTACATTCACAATATGTTTTTCCCCTGTTTATTCAGAACCGCCCCCGTGTTAGTTTCCTCTACTTCTGCGAGATGTCCTTAAAATACTTGTTTTACTTGGATTTTGGAACTATGGTATCTAGGTGCGATTGAAAGTTTTCTCTGTTGATAAACTGTCCTGTAACTGAAATTTTTGGTATTGTCTCTTTTGGTTATATTTTTACAATGAAATGTGGATATAAACATTATGGTTCATAGTCATTGATTTTTCATTGAGGACTTTGAATGTTAAGTGTACAAATCGGAGCACAAAATTGCCTACTATTTTGGAGTTGTCAGCAAAGGAGTCTGAAATATTTAATCTATCATCGTTGAAAATCTTCTGAATCATTACTTGTCATCAGGATCCTGCATATTATGTTCTTTCCGAAGACGCCTCCCCTTGCATTTTTGGTCCAGTTGAGAAACAGAGATGGTCATACGCGTGTGCGAAGCAATTGATTGAGAGATTGATTTACGGTAAGGGAACTTAAGTTCATACATGCATTATTAATTCCTCATTTAATTATTCCATAGCCGAGGGTGCTGAGAATGGTCTTGAGTTTACCATTGTGAGGCCTTTCAACTGGATTGGTCCCCGAATGGATTTCATACCCGAAATTGATGGTCCCAATGAAGGTGTTCCAAGAGTTCTTGCCTGCTTTAGCAATGTGAGTTGATATTTCGCTTACAGAATTAAAATTCATGTCCAATGATTCCACACATCTAATTTTCTTTTGGGCATTCATCTTTTGTCGTTCAGAATCTCCTAAGGCGCGAACCACTTAAGCTTGTAGATGGTGGCCAATCACAGAGAACCTTTATTTATATAAAGGATGCCATTGAAGCTGTTCTATTGATGATTGTAAGTCAAGTTTTACCCTTATTATTTCTGCTTGACTTTAGCATGTGGAATTGGTAGTTGACCTCGAGATTTTACTTAGGAAAATCCAGCCAAGGCTAATGGGCAAATTTTCAATGTGGGCAACCCTAACAATGAAGTTACTGTGCGGCAACTTGCTGAAATGATGGCACAGGTGATTTGCTCTTATTGATGATCCGAAAATATTCTCTATATGTATTTTCTCAACATAACTTTTGTTCTTGCATGCTCATAGGTTTACTCAAAGGTTAGTGGAGAATCATCACTAGAAACACCTACCATCGATGTTAGTTCCAAAGAATTTTATAGTAAAGGATACGATGATAGTGACAAGAGAATTCCGGACATGACTATTATTAACAGACAACTTGGTAATAACTTGTTTTTAAAAACATAGAATTGCTTGAGAACGTTTGCAAAATTCTTATACTCAAAGTAGCAAAATTCTTAGACTCAAAGTTCAATATCATGATATTGCCAGGATGGAATCCAAATACATCACTTTGGGACTTGCTCGAATCCACTCTTACTTACCAACACAAAACATATGCTGAAGCTATCGAGAAGGCCATTTCAAAGTTTGTTGCTAGCTAACAAAAAGTAATGTTGGGTTCCCTTACTGTAGTCTGAAACTTTGGTGCGCCTTTCAAATCTTTATGAGGATCTCGTAGCTATCTTTCATATGCTTCCTTCTCGTATATGTGGTATCACTAGCTAGCAGCGTACAGTTGCAGGAATCTTGTATGTCTAATATCTTTTACTAAGCAACACTCTGATGGGGGTATACTTTGTTGTATTTTACAAGACAGCCTCTTTTCTTCGGAATTTTGTTACTGGTGACGTTATGCTTAGTTTACCTGTGAGGGAATCTGTTGTATTATTTTGTTCAAAATTTTAAGCTCTGAATCTTTATAATTTATCAACTTGTTAGGCTTTGTTAATCCGTAAATTAAATTCACAAAAACTATAATTTACTTTAATATTAATCAAGTAGTGTATTCAATTTTGATTCAATTGAATAATTATACTTAAATTTATTATATAATTACACTTTTACTTGATTGTAAATTACGTAATTATAATTTACTCTAGTATTAATCAAATAGTATACTTTAGTTTTGGTTCAATAGGGTAATGACGCCTTTCTGTCCGTCACCTAAATTGATGAAATTCGATGAAGTGGTAGTTTCTTCATTTATTTCATAGAATTGTACATTTTATCCCACTTCCACTCCCACCCAACTAAACACCATGCCACCGCCATCGCCATCGCCACCGCCACCGCCACGATTTGTGACCATAACCAGTACCACACCACCATTGTCACCTCTACACCACCACCAGATCAATCTTTGCACTGCCACAAAACCCTAATAACACCAAAACATGGAAACCAACGCTCCAACTACTCCAACAACACCAAATAAAAAAAAAAAAAAAAAAAAAAAAAAAAAAAAAAAAAAACACCACCACCGATAGCCGCCGGTTGTGCTGTAGGCAACACCACATGCACCACCACAAAACCCCAACAAGAACCAAAACATGAAAATTGAAGAATCAGACATTAAAGAAGGATCTAGAATATAATTAGATAATTTTGCTTCCACCGCCATACTAGAATGCTTTGGATAAAGAAAGGCGGCAATCACATTGAATCCTCTGCCTATATATATGTTTTGTTGTATGTGTAGTTAAATGTGTGAAGTGAAGAGAGAAGAGAAATAGAGGGCAACAGAGAGAGAGAGAGAGAGAGAGAGAGAGAGAGAGAGAGAGAGCGCAGTGATAGAGTGGAAGAGAGATTATTGTGAGTGTTCAATTTTTAAATAATATAAGTGAGATTAGTGATCTTGGTGTGTATCAAAAATTGTATAAATTTCATTTCATAAATAAAGTTATATTTTTAATTTGTGAGTTCAAATTCAACAATTTGGTGTCAGAACGAGACGGTTGAGGATGAATTTCCAAGCTTCTTGAGATCGTGCACAAAGTGAGGTTGTGAAACTTTATTAAAGCTTGCTTAATTACGAAGAGGTAAATCAAATCACGATGGACGACCTAAAAGTGTTAGGCAGAATGAGAAAGCTTGATAATTAGATACCTCATGACAAACTTGCATGGAATCATATCTTCAAGGGCAAGACCTGTGGAAAATTGTTCGCAGGATTGACATGACACTGCTAGAGCTTTAAAAAAGTGGAGAATTAAAATGGGCAAGACTTTGTTCGTTATAAAAACAACAATCGAAGAAGAATTATTGGAACACATAAGAGACAAAACTAAGGAAGCATGTGACACTTTAACCTACTGTTCTAGAAGAAAAATGATTTAAGATTGCAGCTTCTGAAGAACGAGTTTCTCTCAATCACTCAAGGAGAATTGAGGATAAGTCAATATTTTAATAAAGTTAAATCTTTCTGTCGTGAAATTTCAGAGTTAGATACTTCAAGTAAGATTTTGGAGTCTTGAATGAGAAGAATAATTATATATGGATTGAGACTCGAATTTAGAAGTTTCATTGCCGCAATACAAGGTTGCCCAAAGCAACTTTCATTAGTTAATCTTGAAAATTTGTTGGCCGACCAAAAAGCATTAACCAGACAAATGTTAGAGACTATTGGTTTAAAAAAGAGCCAGCATAAGGCAATATAATAACCTCCAACAAGCAAGACAAATTCAATAGTGAAGAAGAATGGGATGCTGAAGCATTTGTAATTGTAATTGAACAAGCTCGAGAAAAGAAAATAAATTTCAGTATAAAGGACGAATTAGCGTTGGTGGTAATCTTGCCTGATCAATTGGATTGTGAAGATGATTGGATCGATGACCCAAGATGCGACATCGTGCCTAATGAAGAGTCCTCTTGGTGGACTCCAAAAAAGGAGGAACTACCAGACTCAAAAGAAGTGTTTGAAGTATATGCTTGGCAGACACCTTAGAGGTGCAACTAACATCAAAAGAGTTAAGACCAAGTCAACAAAAAGAGATTGAGGTACGTATAAATTTACAATGACAAATAAAGAAGTCGAATAGACATGAGAAATTAAATATCAATTATCTTAATCTGAAAATCAATAAAGATGAAATCATAGAAGAGCAAGATATATTTGAAACAGCAAATGCTTTAAACGAAAGACTAATAGCTTCAAAACTTGTAGAGTTTGAGGCGAAGTTGGGCGTAACAAAAAAGAAAAGAATTAAAATGAAAAGGAGAATTGAAGAATCATCACTGACTTTTTAGATTTTTCATAGATGTAGGCATTAGAGAAGGATCTAGAATATAATTAGATAAATTTGCCTCCACCGCCATACTAGAATTCTTCGGAGGAAGGCGACAATTACATTGAATCCTCTGCCTATATATATGTGTTGTATGTGTAATTAAGTGTGTGAAGTGACGAGAGAGAAGAAACAGAGAGTGAAAGAGGGAATTAGTACAACAATGGTGAGGAATAGAGAAATTATTGTAAGTGCTCCATTTTTAAATAAAATAAGTGAGGTTAATAAGCTTGGTGTGTATAAAAAATTGTATATATTGCATTTCATAAATAAAGTTATATTTTTAGTTGGCGAGTTCAAATTCAACAAAAGGAATAAAAAAACGAATATTATCAATCATGTTGCAGCGACACTGCACAAAGAAGGCACTGCACTGTGTGAGGTCACCACACGCAGTGACATTTGACACCATTGCGTACGACTTCTCTACTATAAGCGACACTATGAGCGTTGCTGTGCAACGTGCTCACAGCAAAGTACCGCTGCACAACGGCTCTCAGAGGTAGTTGCTGTGAGCGTTGTGTCGTTGCTCACAGTGACGAGCCCCGCTCTTATCTCCGACAACGGTAGTCATCCGTGTGTGAAAAGAGGGTAGCGAGAGATGGGAGCGAAAAAGAGAAGGGAGGGAAAGAAGAGGGAAAAAATAATTTAAGATTTGAATGAGAAGGATGAGGGTAGAGTGTGAGTATATAAATTAATTTATTAATATTATTATTAATATTGAAATTTAAAATTAATACCCATTTTTTGTATAAGTAAACTTATAAATTTTATTTTTGAATTTCAATCTTTAAATATGTAATTTTAACTTTCTTTTGTGAAAAACTACACCATTGATGTCCTTTAACTACCAAATTAATCCACGGCACCGTAGAGGGACATGAAGGGTTACTGCCCTCACAACTTTTAAATTTCCTTTCCCTAAATTTATCAAGCACTATTTAAAAAGATTACGATGTATAAACAATACATATGTATTTAGTTTCTCTAATATTTTTTGCTCTTTATAAAATGTCCAACTTCATCATCGTTCCAATTTTTTTCAAAAGAGCAAACTGTATTTTAAACTATAATTAAAACTATATAACGAGTTTTCATGTGAAACCAATTTAAACATTTGATAAAACGTTATATGATCCTTTCACGTTGAACTTTATAAAGTTAGATTATATAAGTGTTATGCCCTATGTCCAATCAACCTTGGACATAAATACTTATAATATATTATTGATGCAATTTTATGGTAGATTTATTATTCAATCATTATTCAATTAAATTAAATAATAGAGTGTGTAGATTCAAATTTTGGTAATTTGTTAATCACAAGGAGTTGTGATTGTGAGATACAAATTACATATGGTTAAATTTTAAATTATCCGTGATCGTAAATAATGATGAGATATGATATTGTTATTACAGATAGACCATCATGTGTAGCATTTCTTACTTGGGAAGTAAGTAACTGATCTTACAAGTTAAAGTGTGGTGACAATTGAATGAACACGTGGATATTTTGTTATAGAACAAAACATTGAAGGCCCGCTGAGAGATTCCACATGGATAACTATCTGAGTATCAGTGTTTATTCTCTAACGTTCGGTAGTGGGATTGGTCATTTGATTTGAGGTCATCATGGTGTCTTGTATGAGGATAGTTATGTTTTGACGATGTTGGATGTTGCTTTGCCAGAGGACTCTAATACGACATCGTTCGGGTATGTTAAGAATCGTATGAAGATTGTGAATGATTAATAGAGAATTCGTCACTCTTAGATAGTAAGAGATTATGATCTGCATTTCTTTCAATTAAGTCGTTAACGAAATCTTTGGTCAATGTGTATTCATAAATCGAACATGAGTTTTCGACTTATATTGGCTTAATAGTGAAGTGAAAAGTATAATCGATAATCGAGATTGATACACTTTCATATCTCATAATTGATCGGATCATATTGACGAAAAGATTATAATTTCATAGTAAATGAACGAGTTTTGTTTTGTCATACCACGTGACATTTTTCGTCACATGTATTACCCTGATACATTGCTAGATGTCAATTTGGGACGGCGAATGTGAATTGGTGATAAATTAGAAGAATGTTTTAATTTATCAATTTTGATTAAATTAAAATAATATTTCATGTCGTTAGGTATCGTATTCGGAAACCTTATGGGTTGCGCACAAAAGGAGAACTGGAATATTGTAATTTATCAATTAATTAATTTAACAAGCGTTTGATAAATTAATTAATTGTGTTACTTATTTATATGCTCGAATTAATTAATTCATGGACCGAATTTAATTAAATAGGTTAATTAAATATTGGATCGAGTCAGGCTAAACTCATTTGAGCTTATATAAATATGACTAGGATTTTCAATATCTGTAGAGAATTCATTATTTTTGCTAGTACAAGAAGAAAATTCTAATTCTACAATCTTGTTTTCTGCGTGAATTACCGTTGGAGGCTCGACAATTGGATAGTTGTAGGTGGCAAATAAAGATCGTTGGAACGAAAAAATAGCAAAGGAATTTGCAGATCTCGTAAAATG